AGAGGAACTGCTTAGGGCTCCAGAAGTTCCTTCCACTGACTCAATCCCTGCTGGTTTTTGCAGCCAGAAGTTGTGGGGACTCATCTTCCTGGCAATGGAACCCTGGGCTAGGGGACCTGGTGTGGGGCTGGGACTCCTCACTGCAGAGATACCCCCCCAAATTTTTACCCACCACACATGGATGTGGGACCAGCCCGTTCCACATCTCCACCCCTCCTGCCAGTCTGGATGGCTGTGGCTTCTTTAATTCCGTAGTGGTCAGACTTCCATTCAACTCAATTTCTGACAGTTATGAGTGGTTGTGTTCTATATTTCAGTTGTGCTTTTGCTGTGGTTGTGGGAAGAGGCAGCCATGTCTGCCCACACCACCATCTTGACCGGAAGTTCACCATTCTGTTTTTGCTGCAGAACACTTCCTCCATTCACAGAGAGTATCCAAAGGAGGATCGTCAGAAGCACTGGCCTGATTAGAGAAAAGGACAAATTTGGGCCTTGGTTCTGTCATTGTTTCAGTCTAAACAGGGCTGTTACTCCATAGCTCACTGGCAGAATGGGAGCTTTTAGGAGCCAAGGCCTTTATTGGGGGCAAGGGGTTCTGCTCTCCTGGAACCCTGGAAGAGCTGGTGTTTCCACATCTACTTGAAATCCTGAGAGGGAAGGGTAGTGGAGGAACCTTCTTCCAGGCTATAGATACCATCCTGGGCTCTTCCAGGATGTCCTGGTGTCAGCCCAGGAAATGAACATTTGGTAGGCAGTGCTTGTGAGAAAGGTTCCTGCTGTGTTCTAGCCCCAGTGTCCATCCAGGCCTCCTGTTTTCTCTTTAAACCTCAGCTTCATCAACGTCAGATTTCTTATCTCCAGGAAGTTCAAATGCCTCTTCCCCTTTACCTTGTTTGGGTCCTCATGCCACTCTACAGATTCCTTTGTTATTAGTGACATCACCAGGAGACCAAGGTGGAGGTCCCTGAGCTTCCCTCAGCCCCCCGCTTTGTCCTGCCAGCCCTGAATGTCGCAAACCAGAGTGCAGAGCTGCCTGCAGCTCATCTGAAGCAGATGAATGTGTCGCTCTGTCCAAGGCCAGCAGCTTTGCAGACCTGATGGGGATCCTGAAGGACTTTCATCAGACAAAATGAAGCCTCGGCCCGTAAGTATTTGACATGGAGCTCTGGTGATCTAGTTACTATTTCAGTTGCCTGTGGCCAATGATCTAGCAAGTTCTCAGTAGTAGCCATATGTTACTTCAGTCCCAAAGCTTGCTGCCTACTTACTAATGCCAGGGGCCCAGGTTGAGGAAAGAGTAACACTTTGCATTTGCTTGGGGTGATCTCACCCAACCAGATGTTAGAGTAGGAGGAATTTGACAAGGTTCCTCCAGATAGGAGAAGCTCAGTAAACCCCAGTGACTCCCCTGCTGGATCCTTGGGGCTTTGCTCGGACCGATTTCCTAGGTAGTTCTCGCCGTACCTCATCTTCTACTTCCTGCCACCCTGGTGGTGTGTTTCCTCAGGAATCACACTTCCAACTCTAACCCAATCTTCCTGCCCCACATGGAAGTCAGGCCGACTAAGCAAACAGGCTTGTGGAAGGGATTCCAAGGATGATTTACAGTTAAAGACAATGACTCTCCAGCAGCAGCAGTTGGTGCAGGTCGATAGTTTCCAAGCAGGCACAGAGCAGTTAAGAGCGTGGCTCCTGCAGCACACAGCGTGGCTCAAGTCAGCCCCGATTCTGCCACGGCCACTGAGCTGGATGACCCTCTGCAAGCTGCTTAATCTCTGTGTCTCATTCTCCTGTGAGAAATGAGGGAATCCCACGGGGCAGTCAGGAGGGTTTGGAGAGTTAATTCACGTACAAGTCTTACACAGTTCCTGGCTCTCAGTGGTTGGATGGCATTCAGTGGCAGGAGCAGAGACGGTGAAACAGCATCACTCTTATCCTCTCATTTCAGGCCCCTGAATACTTTACGGTGTGAACTGGAAGATGGGCCAGAGAGGTTTTAGAAATGCCAGCTTTTATAACCCCGTCCTTATGTAGTCTGGTTTGGTCTTGTTTTCGTTTGCTTATTCTGGAATGCCTGAGAAGTAGGGAGAATAGGGTTGCGTTTGACTCAATTGGCTGTGAAAGTCCGAGAAGAAACGGGGTCTGCCGACCTTCGTGCCGCAAGTTGGAAGCAGGTGTGCGACCTGCACCGAAGTCGTTAATCCCAGCCCACAGCTGCCTTCGTTTCACTTTTACCCTTGGAAACTAAAAACTGCAGTGGTTAAAAGAAGAAAGAAATCCTGACTTTAAAATTCATACTTTAACTTGTAATACTGGTACGGAAATTTCCCTTCCACCACACAGAACTGGAAAGCTGGGTGAGTTAAGACAAACAACTGATTTTAGACAGTGGGTAACAGACAATGCAGGATGTTGATCCCCAAAAAGGGTTTCTGAGAAAGGAAACAGATGAGGTGAGCCCTGGGAGCATCCGTGCTGTCTGCGTGGGGGCATTTGTCAGAGTGCAGAGTGCAGAGCACCAGGCTTGCAGAGCGCCAGTGTCAGAGCCCACCACGGTCTCGACGCATGGAGTAGATTCAAGACTGAAATTTGAGGAAGCGGTGGCGGCCTGGGTTTAAAGCACAGAGAACATATCTGGAAATCTACATTGAGATCTCATCAGTCTGGTACCGAATACTCACCTACATATTGCCAGATGACACCCTGCAGGGCCAGGCAAATGCCAGGACTGCAAGCTAAATAATCCCTGGGGGGATACTTGTAGCCCGAGCAGAGGGACCTCCCCGAATACCAGGGACATTCAGTAGAGTTCTCAGAAGGGCCACCCCCTAGTCTTAGAGCTGAACTAGCCCTGGAGCAAAAGCTGTCCCAAAACTATCTTTCTTTTTAAAGGTTTTATTTATTTTTACAGAGAGGGACAAGGAGAGAAAAAGAAAGGGCAAGAAACATTGACATGAGAGAGAAACATTGATTGGCTGCCTCTCATACACACCCCAACCTGGGACCAGGCCTGTAACCCAGGCATGTGCCCTGACCAGGGACTGAACTGGCAGCCTTTCACTTTGTGAGGCAATGTCTAACCAACTGAGCCACACTGGCCAGGGCCCAAGCCTGTCTTAACAAAGTTTAAAAGCAGGCATTTAAAGTGGCAAGCTGATTAGTAAGTACCTACCTAAACAAATTTCAGTATACTTTAAAGACAACCAGGTCCAGGCAGCTAAAAATGTAGCCCTGGAGATGCCAGCATGCAATAAGAAAAGGTACTAGATGTGTGAAGGAGGGAAAGCTCTACAACTTGGGGGTGAAAGGAATCAGACCCAGAAATCCAGAAATGTCAGGGATGATTATAAATAGGGCAGGAGGAAGGCCAGGAGTGGGGGGGGGCGGGGCGGAGGGCGGGTGGCTGTTTTAAACAGAGCGGCCAAGGACAGCAGCAGGAGGAGGGATAGGGCACAGGTGCGAGGAGGTGAGGAGTGGGCCCTGGGGAGGAGGGACAGAGGGAAAGTAAGTGCAAAGGCCCACATTGGGACTGACTGCAGCAGAGAGCTGGGGGTGGAGGGGCGGGGGGGGCTGATGCCCTGGCCCCCACCCACCCCACTGTAAAAGATTTCGTTATTCAGACTGAGCTGGGAGCCACTCGGGGCTCTGAGCCCAGGAGGGACGCCATCTCCCTGGGTTTGATCAGGCCACTCGTAGCTGAGAAGGGACTGCAGGGGACACTGGAAGAAGCAGGGGGACTGGACGAACCACTACTGAGATGGTCCAGGTGTAAGTGGGGGATCCCAGCCAGGATCCCAGCCAGGCCTGAATGAAAATACTGGCTCTGCCTTTATTCCTTGTGATTTCACCTCACTGAGGCTCAGTTTCCACACCTGTTAAATGGGAGCATCACCTGCAGCAGAGCAGGCTTGAGGACATAAAACCATGGCCGTGGGCCTGGCCCAGCATACAGTAGGCCCTCAGAGAATGCCACCCTTATCCAGCTGACTGAGCCCCAGGTCTTTGAACCCCTGCTTGCTATGTGCTCCTGGAAAAGTTACTTAACCTCTCTGAACTGGTTTTCAATCTGTGAATGGGGTGGTGTAGAGATGTAGGGATGCAGAACATAGCTGGACAGAAAGCAGACATTTCTGCCATATCTGGAAAGTAAGGAGAGGGAGCCAGCTCCCTGTCACAGGAGACATGGGAGCAGAACTGGATTTGCACTTGGTGAACTTGCACTTGTTACCTCTGCTAACAAACTCTGACAATCAGTGCATACTTAATAGACGCCTGCCACTGGGCTCAGGAATCTGCATGTATTATGTGATGCATTAGCACTGAGCCTGCACGGGCAATGTGAGCTTCCAGTGTCAGCTGCTTTCATCTCATTTCATCCTCACAGCTCAGCTCTCTGCGGTAGGGGCTGGTGCCACTGTGATTCCCAATCCCCAGTTTATAGATGAGGACACTGAGACTGAAAGAGGTGAAATTACTTATCTTGGGTCAATCAGCTGGTGCTCGGTGTAACCCAGGCGCAAGTGGTCTGAATGCAGAGTGCATGTTTTCTGGTTATAAACTGAGTGTGTGACCTTGGCCAGTCCCTGCTCTGCCTTAGGACCCATGTTCTCATCTGCACAATAAAACCTCCCAGCTGACAGCCAGCTCTAACTGCCAGCCACATGGCTGCACCGTCTTGCATGCTCCGGCCCAGCCAGGCCCCTGAGGCTGCACACCCACAAACATCATATGGGGCAGAAGAACCACCCAGCCCTGGCTGGTGTGGCTCAGTGGATTGAATGCTGGCCTGCAAACCAAAGGATCACTGGTTCAATTCCCAGTCAGGGCACAAGCCTGGGTTTGCAGGCCATGTCCCCAGTAGGGGGCACACAAGAGACAACCACACATTGACGTTTCTCTCCCTCTCTTTCTCTGTCCCTTCCCCTCTATCTAAAAATAAACAAATCCTTAAAAAAAAAGAAGAAGAAGAACACACAGCTGGACCTGGGAAACCCAGAAAGTCAGGACAGATAACAAAATGGGTTTATTTTAAGCTATTTGTTACACAGCAATAGATAAGTAAAACAGCACTGAGAAACAAACATCCGTTGAGTGCCTACTATGAACCAGGCGCTGTGTTGGACCTTAGAAGAAGCTCAGGATTTGTCTCTGGATTCAGAGCCTGGTGGGGACCTTTAACTTCCTCCTACTGCAGCCTGAACCGGCCAGGCAGCACCAGATACTTTCTCTCCAGGGATGGCTTCCACAGCAAGGATGGAGCACTCGTAGCCCGGTGGAGGCGAGGCAGGCTGTGTCCCAAGCAGGGCAGCCCAGGAGGCACTGTGCATCAGGTCTTCCTCCTGGGGGTATGCAGGAGGTGCCAGGGGCCCCTCAACCAGCGGGCAGTGCACAGCCTCCTCGTAAGTGGGGATGGCAACCAGTTTTGGGGTCCTACAAGAACAGGGAAAGATGCAGTTAGCAGGGGCAAGGGCAAAACCGACTGCATGCCAGGGAGAGAGTGGTAAGGGCTGGGGCAGGGAAGGCTGCATGCACTGGCCCGTATTTTTGCAGGCCCCTGGGGTCCCATATACACACTTGGAGCTCAGCATGAGCTGCACCTGCCAACCTCAGCTCTCCCGTTCCGGCCACCCACCCCTCCCCGCACGTGTTCACCATGCCTCCTCGTTCTTTCTGCAGGGAAAGTCCTACTCACTCCCTCCCCCTGCCCTGCTGGTCAGTCCCAACTTGACCCTTGAGACTCCTCGAAGAAGCTGTCCTGACTGGACCTCCACCAGCAAATCTCCCGCTCCCTGCTCTGGGCCCTGCCACCCCACCAACCCCGCCTGGTTGTCCTCTGGGCAGGGACTGATTTGAGTGCCACAGGGCTGCATGCAGATGTTTGCGGGCGTTGTTGAGAGACGGAGTGATGGTCCGTGGGCAGAAAGGCTCCCAGCTTGCTGGAATATCTTCTACAAGAGCCACAGTTGTGGACGCTCAGAGCAGGATGGAAGGCCTCATTTCTGCTGCCCACCTGGGTGCCTGAAGGCCCTGATGGGGTGAGTCCGCCAGGTGAGCGCCACTGCGTGCACACCTCCGGAGATAAAGTCAACCACGCCTACCTCTGAACGGCCTTGCTCCCTGAGGTTGGCCCTGAACAGCCTTAAATGAACTGCAGGGACTTGAGACAGAGACCAGGTCCCTGAGGCTCTTCTGACCATGCTCTGCAGCCAGATTCCAAGGACAGGTCCCCTCACCCCATGCACACCAGTGCTGATGGGAATGATACTGGCCCTCCGTCCTTCTCAGGTCCCCAGCGGGTGACCTCTGGGGAGTCCCTTACTCTTCTCCTCCTAGGACCCTGTGGGTATGGGAGTGTCAGTGATCCTAGACATGGGCTGCTTCTGCTTTGGGGATGATATGTCAGGAAGGGAGTGGTGATTAGGTGATCTTGAAGGTCCCCTCCCACCCCAAGTTGCTCGAGGGCTGGTTATGAGTCTGGGCACTCACTGGCTGGTTCAATTCCCTGCTCTGCACATTCCTGGTGGGAGATGAAGGTCAGTAACTCCATTAATCTGGGCCTCAGTTTCCCCCACTGTGGATGGGGATGACGATGGCCCCTACCCCACAGAACTGTGCTCAGATTAAGTGAGATCATGCAGGGGTGCACTTAACCCATGCTCTGTACATGGCAGCCAGTCACAAAGTCTCAAAGGTCTCCTGGAGGAAGGGGTGTGAGGACCAAAACTCATCACACAGCTCCCGCATGGCAAGCCCTACAGGGGCTCCGGGAGGCTGTCACCAACCCACGGTCATCAGTTTGGAGGTGGTGGGGAAGCAGTTCAGTCCACACCAGTGGGCCTGCCTATGCAGACGGTGAGCAGCTGATGGCAGAGGCTGGCCCCGGGGACAGAAGAAGAAGTGGAGAGGACTGTGCTCCAGGGCCTAGTGGGGGCACCATGCTGAGAGCCTACTGGTGCCCCTCATGTGACCCATCACCTGCTGGGGACATGGCCTGTTTCTAGGCAAAGTGTCTTCTCAGGCCAAACCCACCGCAGCCCTCACAGCAGCCCACCGGGAGGGAGGCTTGCTGCTCCAGCCACAGACAGAGTCATGAAGCAGGTTTGGGGGAGTCTGGGACTGACCCCGAGCCCATGGGCCAGTCTGATGGAGGCCATCAGCCAGGAGCCAAGTCTGGTATGCCCCACCCAGTGCTCTTGCAGACGTCTCTCAGAGACCCTCCACCTACTCCGGAAGTGAGCCCAGCAGCCCTCAGCTGAGGATGCTGCCAGGGGACCTCATCCTTCTTGGCACTCCAGCATCCTCTGCAGGTGAGAGCAGGCGAAGGTTACCACTCCTGGAGGCAGGCCAGCCCGGCTCTATTGCTGTGTGACCTAGACTGTTCACAGCCCCCTCTGAGCCTCTTCCTCCTTATCTGTAAAACGGGGGTAATAATTTTCATTGTGTAGATTCAGGGCAGGGAAAAATGGAAAAAGCTTTGATAACACTCAGGAAAATGTAAGTAATAAGGCATCCAGAGCCCCAAATCTCCTGCCCTGCTCACTTCTCAGCCACAGCTCTGCCGCCCCTGCTTCTCCAAGTCCCGGAGACAGGACACAGGTGTTGGGCGTACTAGGGGCCATGCCAGCCTCGAACAGCTGGCAGGGCAGGGCAGGGCAGAGGTAGACTGAGCCTGAAGCAGGACGTTTGCTCAAAGGGCAGATGTGAGTGGCTCACGTGCCACCCGCTGGGCCGGCTGGACCCATCCAGCCCCAAGTCTCCACTGTCGTGGTCCAGAATGTCGGGACTTGGGGACCACTGGGAGGAAGCTCTGTTATGGTGTGTTCTGGGCGTGTTCTCCTCCACCCTCAGCTGAGGCAGGCAAGCATGGTCGGAAGAGGGGAAGGGGCGGACATGAAACACTACTTGCCCAACACTCAAGCCCCCTAACCTATTTCACATGCGTGACACGCTGGGGGGCAGCCTCTCTCAGCCACAGTACATACAGGTGAGTGAAAGCCACCCCTCAACCAAGCAGCAAAGCCCCAGCTCTGTCCGACTACACCCCACCTCACACACTGCTCCCCACCCTGCCCCAATCTCTCCACACTGCAGCGGTCTCACCTGTGAAAGTGGGCCTGACCCTACACCCACCTCGCACGCTGCCCCACTCGTGCGCAGTGAGGCTCAAACCAGTCAGTGGGCACAACGACGCACGGAGACTGTGGAGCACGGTGCTCGGACTTCACAGTGCACGCACCTCCCCACCTGCCACCCCATCTGAGCCTGACTGTGGTCCTGGGGAGGGGTCTGCCACCCCCCACTGCCCAGTGAGGAATTAGATGCTGCTCAGAGAGCCTGAGTAACATGCTCAAGGACAAACAGCCTACCAAAGGAACAGCAGAGGCTGCAACACTCGTGTCTGGATAGAACCATGCTTTTTCTGCTATACCCCCTGATGGAGGAGGCCCCAGGGGCCTCCTGTCTAGCCACCTTACTTAGGGGCTCACACATCAGATGGGGGCCCCCAGAGGGCAGGGTTTTATCTGCTTTTGTCCAGTGCTGTGTTGTCAGTGCCCAGCACAGGCACACAGTAGGTGCTCGGGAAATATGGTTAAATGTGTGAAATGGAGAAAGTGAGGTCCAGCCATCAGCCCAGAAAAGGACTCTCCAACCTGGGTTTACGCACAGCTGGGGACTGGCGGGGAGTGAGGGGCCCAGGACCAGAGCAGCACAGAGGCCTGCTGTGGGCCAGACGCTGGTCTCACGGGCAGCAGGGCAGAGCCGAGTCAGCCCCAGGGACAGTGAGGAGCCATCAGCAGAAGCAGCCTCCCTGACACCCAGCCCCCAGTTCTGAATCGAAGATCTGGGTCTCCAAGCCAGGAGCACTCTGCAGCCTCCTGGCCGGGCTGGGGTGGGGGGGGGGAGCTGAGTGGCCCCCCCCTGGTAGCTGCAGCCCGGACCCTGTTGGGTCAACACGGCTGTGTGTACAGACAACACTCCCCCTGTACATTCTGGCCGCCCAGGCTGGGGAGGGACAGGCACAGGGCCAGAGTGCCCTAGGCTTGGCCTGGTTCCAGCTGACCACTGACTCACTGTGTGACCAGGCAGGTCACTGGTCCCTCCAAGACCCAGGCTTCTCATCTGAAAGGTGAAGAGTTTGGCCAGAGACTTCCCAAGGCCCTGCCCTTCACTCTAATCGTTGGGTCAAACCAAGGCCCGACCACTGGAGTAAGTGGCCTCTGTCGGATACCTCGCTGTCTCTCCGACTTGAAGGATTCACAAGCCAGTAAAGGGAACATAACCTGTTACGTTCCTTAACTCAGGATGCAGGTTCCCCTTTAACTGAAGGGAGAAGGTGCAAATCCCAGGCCAGCACACAGACATCCGGCTTAGCCCCTCACACAGCCAACCGTGCAGAGTGGTGTCGGAGAACACGAGCTTTGCAGCCAGCGGGCTCTGGCACTGTTCAGTCGTATAACCCCAGCCTCTTCTTCTGTCGAGGGCAACAGGGGCCCCTGACATGCCGGTGCGCCCAGTGCTTGGCTGAATGAACAAATGCATCAGTGTGGGCATGATGCACTTTCTCACAGGGCAAAAATTGGTTCTTGGAATGTTGGTGACATAAAGCACAGGTACACATACAGTACATAAACAAATATGTAGTATATCTGTGGCATTTAAACCTCATGGGGGAGATTAAGAAAAAAATGCCTAAAAGCCTCCTTCGAGGGACTAAAACTGAAAACTAAGGTTGAGAAATGTTGTCCAGTGCAAGACTTTGTCTCCACCCCATCCCACCCCCGAGCCTTTGTGCATGCTCCTCTGCCCGCCTAAACCTCCTCCCGCCTCCTTAGCCCCCTGAGGAAAAGCGGGCCTTTACTGAGCGCCTGCTGTACTCCAGGCATGAAGCTAAGTTCTACATACATGTCATCTCCCTGAATGCTCCGTGTCCCATGAGCCAGGGAGTGGATGACAGCATAGACTCTGGGCCCAGACCCTAGCCCTGATATACACCACCTGGGTGTCCTTGGGCAAATTACCTAACATCCTGGTGCCTCAGTTTCCTCATCTGTAGACAGAGTTCATAACCATACCTGCTTCAGAGGGCTGCTGTCAGGATTAAAGGAGTAAATATGAGAAAGGCACTTGAATCAGTGTCTGGACCATGATAAGTCCTATACAGGTGTTTGCTGTTATTGTTGCTGTTCTTATTGTTCCTGTTTTATTTCAGATGAGCAAGCTGAGGCTCAGTGGGGTTGCATGATCTACTTGAAGTTCTACTGCTAGTTAGTGATAGAACCAGGAGAGGATCCCAGTCAGTCCAACTCCTGTGCCCTCTGCTCCATATCATGCTGAGCTCAGCTTCCACCTCTTCCAAGAAGCCTACCTGGATTTCTCCACATCTCCACACAACATTGTCTAAGCCTCTCTCAAAGCTCTAACTACTCTGGTCTGTCATGGAGCTTGCTTTAAACTGCTCCAGGACCATGCTGATCAGCTTTCAAGCCCCCAGGGCATAGACAAAGCCTGGGCCAGAGGAGGAACTCATGAGAGTTGGCTGAGCAAATACGTGATGATGTCATGGTACCCCACCTGTGGCCCCAACCTGCCACCCCTACCCTTCCCCGCCAACCTGCAGCTCTCCTTCTCCTCGGGCTCCACAGTGAGGTAGTACACGTCTCTGGAGAGGTGATACGGGTCCCACCGGGGTCGCGCCCAGATGCTGGCCTTGCAGGACCACAGCAGGCCAAGGAGCAGCAGCAAGCCACCTGCCCCGCAACAGGAGAAGCTGATGGACCTCAGCAAGGGCCTGGGGGACTCAGGTGTGGGGTGCCCAGTGGGTGGGGCTGGCTGGCTGGCTTGACCGCCAGTGTCCCCTTCACTCCACCAAGCGAAGCAGAGTGTCCCGGCCACCAGAGCCGCCATGCCGCCGACCATCATGCAGTAGCGGAGGGTGGAGGCCACTTGACCTCTGTCACAGTTCTAGACGTGGAAGAAGAAAAGTGGACATGTAAGAGGCCTGCTGAGTACTGGAGACCCAGTCTTAGCTCTCCCCCACCTGAGGTCACCATGCAACCTTGGAGAGGTCATTTGAGCTCTCTGCCTCAGTTTCCTCATCTGAGAAATGGAGATGCTGCTGCTAACTTTGCAGGGCTGTTCTGAAGTTCTGAGCACCACACCAGGGGTTGAGAAGGAGTTCAGCAAGTGTGGCTAGGTTCACCCTGGGCCCCCTCCAGGCCTCAGAGGCCTCATCTGCCTGGTGGGGATAAGCCTCCCCACTGCGTCCACCACAGGCTGGGAGGGTGCTCCAGGCCTGCCAGAATCAGGGCTGGCTGGTCACGCATTGCCTCACCTCACCCAGTCACAATCCAAAGAGGTCTAACCTGTCATCTCCACTGACAGAGGAAGACACCGAAACCCAGGGCAGGTGCAGGAGCAAGTGTGAGGGGGGTACGGAGAGGCCCGAAAGTACAGTTCATGACATGGAGCAAAGCTGTGCAAACAAAATGCTCACTCTGGCCTTATGTATGATGACCCTAACTTGGGAAGAGCCAAAATGTACAGCTGCAGGGAAATGATGAGCAAACTGCGGCATAACCCCTACATGGACTATTAATGTCTTCCTTCAAAAATCAAGCCCAGCACAATGTTTAACAAAAGGGGGGAATGTCTTTAATATCTTACTTTTTTCAACCTAGTATACCTAATTATGCATATAGTGTTATCTCAGTGAGGTAAAGAAAAAATGCACAGGAAAAACAACTACACTGGGGTGAAACCTGGCCCCAGACCTCACAGACAGGAAGTGGCTGAAACACACGCTGTTCCCACTGCCTGGCAACTGGCCATTATCGCCCCTCGAGGCTCAGCTTGGCCGCCACCCAGGACACTGTAAGCATTCAGTCCCCTCAGCCTTATTGGCCCACAGTACTTGCCTGTCTGTGGTTAATTGCTGCTTTGCTGTCTGTATTGGCCCTGTTCACTGCTCTATCCCCAGTGCCTAGCACATAATAGCTGCTAAATAAACATTTGTTAAAGCAATTCCCTTAAATGAGGGAAAAAGTGTTGCTGGCCAAATGCTTGTTGTGTGAAAAGCCTGCCTCACTGCTGGGAGAGGTTGGGGGAGGCACAGATTCCCCAGGATTCCAGCTGCTTTTGCACCGGCCAGGAAGCAGAGGCCTGGTGTTGGCCCCACCCTGCAGCTCACCAGCTGTGTCCTGGGGTAAGGCTCTCAGCTGCTCTGGGCCTGTGGCCTCATCTACACGAAGAGCAGGTGCTCTGTCAGGCTACTAGGAGAATGTAGCACAGCATGATCTCCCCTTCCAAAGGCTGAGCCACAGAAGCGGGGAACTCACAGACCCCAGAGAGACTACAATGACCAGAAACACCTTCTGAATGGGAGCTTGCCCAGCACCAGAACAATGCCTGGCTGTGCAGCCATTCAAAGGCATGCTCCTAGGGGAGCAGGGGGCATGCACAATGTTCAAGATACAGTCGGTAAAGCATGAGATTTCAAAAGGGTGTGTTCCCACCAGAGGGGTGGGGGAAGGGGTGGGAAAAGGGAAGGTAAGTAAGAGTACAAACTTCCAGTTACAACACATGTCACCAGGATGTAAAGTACAGCACAGGGAACAGAGTCAATAGCATCAAATAAACTCTGCACAGTGGCAGAGGGTTACTAGATTTATTGTGTTGATCACTTTATAAGGCATGTAAATGGTGAATAACTATGTACACCTGAAACTAATATAATACTCTATATCTATTAACATCTAAAGTACATTATTTTTTTAAAGGGCCTGTTCCCAAATGTATTTTAAAATGTGTGTGGTTAAGAAATAATTCTACCCATGTTATCAAAAAGAAAATGTGTGTGTGGACACATGTGTGTGTGCACATGAGAGAGAATCTATGCATGTAACACGGTGCTCTAGGAGTGGGCCCCAATTCTTCTGAGCCCCCAGACCACCAAAAGTATATAGAAAAACACCATTTGTAAAGTACCTGCAGTTCTCTTCCCACGAATATGTCTTTGGGGCAAGTGTCTCCTTCCTGTCACCAGCTCAAGGCATGTTTATGGGGAGAGACAAAGAACCTGACTACCCCCCCACCAAAGTTAGGCAGCTAGGAGAGGCTGTCAAGAGGAAAAGCTGGAGAAACTGACTTGAAAAAAATATCCAGCAAATCAATCATCGTAAGCCCTGGACTGTATATTAGGAGTCTTAACAACTGCCCTTCACACCCAGTATCTCATCCGACCCCCCCACACCAGGGCAGGGAAAAAACTCCTGCTTTGCAAATAAGGAGACAGGAGCCAGAAAGGTGAGGGACTTTTCCCACACCCAGGTGCAACTGGGTTTCTCAATGCTTGAAGAACTCACTCCTGCATAAGGTAACTTACGATGCTTTTTACTGTCGGAAGAGGAGCAAACCACAGAAGGGTATAAAAGTGCAAAACAGAAATTCTCGTTCGGCCTGCTGCTCAGATGAGCTGATCCCCGAGTGAATGTTCCATCTCTCCCCCGGCCCACATGCATGGTGCTGGTGGCCGCAGCCGAGTGCTGGGCATTGACACGGGCCGGACACCACACCAAGCACTTTACAGGTGTCCCCTCACTTAATCCTCACAGCAGCAATATGTCCCGAGGACATAAGGCTATGAGAGTGAGTGTGTCCGAGGTCAATGCTAAATTTGAACCCAGGTCTAGTGTGACGCAAATCCCGTGTGTGCACAGCTAGATCTCTCTGTATTTGTAGTATGTAAAGTTGAGACCGTGCTGTGAAGAGAGGTGTCTGCAAGTCTCTGGCACCGGCAATCTGCACTCTCCAGAATGTGGTGTCCTCCTCAGACAGGCGTGGTCACCTCCTTCACAGGCGTGGTCACCTCCCTCTGTGTGGGTGTCCCCCCTGCCACATGGATCCTACTGCAGGCAGGCAGGCCACATGCTAACCTGCCATCCCAGGGGATGGAGAGCGTCAGTGTCCACCGGATGAGGGACAGCCTGCTCTGTTGCTGTGTGGTGGTTTTCATTATCATTACAGATCAGAGCTCTGGTTATCAGCAGCAGGGTGTCCTGGCTCAAGATTCCCCTGACCTGCTTCAGAGAGGGGTCTTCGGGCAGCTTACTCACCTTTACCTCTCACCTCTCACCTCTGTGTGCCCGGTACCCTGATGGGGAAGAAGCAAGAGCTCCATGCCCTGGAGGGAGAAGGCCCACTCCTGACCCTGGCACTCAGACAGGGCCTGCCCCCCCACCCTCATCCTCACCACCCTCACACTCCCTCCCACACACACACTCATCCAAACTCCTGCCACCTACGGGCCTAAAGTATGTTGCTCTCTCAGCCTGGGGAGCCCTCTGTCCCCATCCAGGGCTTCATGTCACAGCCCCACCCCTTCAAGACCCAGCCCAACACCTCATCCTCCCAGAAGCTTTTCTGCAGCCACCACCCCCACCTCCCACGTCCCACCAGCCAAAGGAGGCCTTTCCCTGCATCTGATCTATTGCCCTTTGGAACCTTGGCCATTCTATTTGTCAGCTCTGTGACCTTGATCAGGAGGCTTGATCTCCAACCTCAAATTCCCATCTCCCAGGGAGGAGCAAGTTGTGAAGGTGAGATGCCAAGATGGCAAGCTATAAGTGAAGCACAGCGACACCGGCCAAGCTGGACTGAGGATGGACCTTGGCTCTGACTGACTCTGGGCACGTAACCTAGCTTCTCCATGCTTCCCTTCCTTCCTCCCTGAGATCCACCCAACACTGCGTTGCGTTCTACCAACAAGTGAACTTTAGGTGCCAGTTTTCTTTGTTAAGATTTTATTAATTTTTAGCCCTGGCTGGCGTAGCTCAGTGGATTGAGCGCAGGCTGCGAACCAAGGTGTCGCAGGTTCGATTCCCAGTCAGGGCACATGCCTGGGTTGCAGGCCATGACCCCCAGCAACCACACATTGATGTCTCTCTCTCTCTCTCTTCCTCCGTCCCTGCCCTCTCTGAAAATGAATAAATAAAATCTTTAAAAAAATTAAAAAAGATTTTATTAATCTTTATGTTAAGATTTTATTTATTTTTAGAGAAAGGGGATGGGAAGGAAAAAGGGAGAGAAACATCAATGTGTAGTTGCCTCTCCTACATCCCCTGGCCTGTAACACAGGCATGTGCCCTGACTGGGCATAGAACCAGTGATCCTTTGATCCACAGGCCTCCAGCGATCCTTTGGTTCGCAGGCCTGCGCTCAATCCACTGAGCCACACCAGCTAATGCAGGTGCCAGTTTTCTGTAAGGAACTGAACCATCTCCTCCGAACAAGAAGTGGTCCAAACTATCTCCACCGGGTAAACTGAGGCCCTGAGCCCCACGGCCCAAGGCCACTCAGAGAGTTAAAACACAGGAAGAGACGTGAGTGTGCAGACTGCCCACCACGCCTCCGTGGTCAAGGGAAAGGGGAAGGGTTCAGGCGGGTGGTCGTCAGGAGGAGCCGAGATGCTCCCGAAGGAAGGAGAGGAGGAAGCTTGTACCCACCTGGGGCGCAGCCATGGCGCGGCAGGCAGTCAGGCGCGGTCCAGGCGCGGGGAGCCTGGCGGGCGGAAAGGCATGGTGGCTGCGGGACCGCGGAGCGGCGCGAACCTGGGAACGGCGTCCTTCGGGTCTGCAGAGGACTTGGGCCGTTAGCGGGTGGCCCGGCTTTGGTCCCCTAGCGCCACTCTCCTCGCCCCACAAAACCGCTAAGGTCGGCTCGAGTCTCGTCCCTGAATAGCGCAGATCTCCTGCCCGCCAGTCGCCGTCCGTCCCGTCCGCTCCCGCCGCCCGGCACCCGGAGCGGAGGTGCGGAGCCCGACTCCACCCGGCAGGCGCGGTCCCGGTGCTGCGCGCCCCGACACAGCTCTGCTACCCCGCGGGAGCGGGAGCGGGCCCCCGAGGGCGCGCGGAGCCTGGGCTTCGCCTTCGACCCGCGTGGTGACCGACCCCTGCCCAGGCCCCGGCCCCGGCTTGGCCGTCCGGGCTCCGGCTCTGGGATCCGCGTCCTCGCGGGCGGCGGGGTCCGGGGTCCGGCGGAGGCTCCGGGGACCAGCTGCGGGCGGCTCCAGGTGCCCCGCCACCGCCCCGCCGGCCCCGCCCGACCTTAAAGTGACAGTGCGAGCGGGGCCGGCGGGGCTTAGGGTTTCCCAACCCCTGAGCGGCGGGACCGCGGTCCGGGAACTGTCGGGAATCGCCTGGGGCGGGCTTGGGAAGGGAGACCAGCTGCTCGGAGAGCCATCGACGCTCAGTCAGAGAGCGATCTGGAATTCCGGAGCCCAGGCCGCCTCACTCCCATTTCTCAGCAAGGAAATCTGGGTCCCAAAGCGGGAAAGTCACAGGCCTTTGTTTTCCTTCAACTCCGTTTATGTAACTGGCTTTTTCTTCTCACCGAGGTCAATCTGAGAGCAAGCCGGTGGAGACCCCCAAGACCTCACTTGCGGAGGAGGAAGGCATACTCAGAAATAGTGGCCCGCATTTAAGTGCTTCCCCAACTCCTACCCCCGGTTCCTACCCGCAGCTGGTGAGAGGCCAGGGAGCAGGGGGCCATCGAGAGAGCAGGGCCTCCCCCGTGATGAGTGCCCTGACTTCTCTGAACCTCTGTCTCCCGTGTCGAAGGAGGGCTGAAGATCCCAGCTCACAAGTCTGTGAGGACTGAATGAGTTAAGTAGTCCAGGTTAAGTAAGGGCTGGGCCATTTAACGAGTACAGGCTAAGAGCAGTTTTTGTGGTCAGGTGATTTGGGCACCTGGAAGGAGGGTCAGCCGTGTGTGTGCGCGGTCACACGCGTGCACGCGCGTGTGAAGTCTTCTATGGGAGGACACCCGAGTTGTTTTAGACAAGCAGGAATGGGGCAGAGCAGCCGGGCTAGAGGGGTAGCACGTGCAAAGGCTGGACAAGGTCTCAGGCCAGTTAAACCTTCAGTTCGTGTGTGCCAAAGGGAGCCCATTCCCAGACCAGCCTGGGTCTTTTCCTGCTGCTCCCATAAGGCCGGGGACAGGGCCTGAGTCCCCTCAGCCACACCAGGGATGCCCCCACAGAGAAGGTAGGGTGTACTCTGGAATTACAATGGCTCTATTTGTGAATCTCCTTAGTCGAAGACAACATCTCTGAAGGCAGGGGCCAGATGTGACTTGGCTCAAGACCCAGCCAAGCCCAGTTCATTTTTCAATTACAGTCAACATACAACATTGTATTTGTTTTTCTTGTTTAATTGTCACTCAGCAAAATCATCAAGGCTGAGACAAATGCCTTGCCTAGATTCCCACAGCTAATAAGTGAGGGAGGGGTAGGGAGTGAAGGTGGGGAGAGGAGATGTCAAAATCCATATCAGTCTGAATTTTCCAGGTCCACGTGCAGAATACCCCCCTGCAGAGACAAAGAACAGTGGTCAGCCTGTAAAGAAAGAAAAACATTGCCCTCAATGCAGCCTCATCTGCACAGGCTCTGCCCACCCTCTGGGGCTGGTGATGCAGGGCCCACGGCCACATTTGGAGAAGCAATGAGAAATAAGCACTGGAATCAGGCCTTTTACAGTTGTTGTGAGGTTAACTGAGTTATAGAATGTGCTTAGCAACAGTGCTTGGCTTATAGTAAGTGCTTAGTAATATTGGCTATTACTAGTGTTACTGTTATATTATGGAAGAGAAGAGAAGCAATAGGAGAGCCCATGATCCTTGAGACAGAGTGTCCTCCCTCCTTCCCTCCCTCCCTCCCTCCTCCAGGTCCTCCCTCCAGGACAGGGGTCCAGCATCCTTCTGCAGGGTCACGACCTACAGACAACCGACTTTTGTAACATTTTGACACAACTCTTTCCAAATGTGTGCATTTAAAAAACTCTGGTCAACAGTGCATACCACTTTTAATAGTTTTTATTTTCATTTCACACACTTCTCCATGAACATCTGCCCATAATTCAGTGCACTCTAGTTATTTGCTTACATATCTGGCTCCCCTACAGACAGCACCTTGAAGGCAGATGTGGACATCTCGTGTCCTCTCCCCACCCCACCCTCCTCGTGCCATCTCCAAGCTGGCATACAGTAGGCCCACCATGATTATAAGTGGTGAACAGCATGGGATGTACCATAGTGGTAGGTCATCTGTCCCCTGCCTCGGTGCACGCTCATTTCTGTAGCGAGGGAAGAAGGCTCATGGGGTGGGGACATCTCAAGGTCTGACAGCAATGCAGCCAAGGCTGGTCAAAGTCTAGGGTAGAACTATCATTAAAGAAAGACCTCAGCCCTGGCTGGTGTAGCTCAGTGGGTTGAGCTCCAGCCTGCGAACCAAAGGTTGCTGGTTCAATTCCCAGTCAGGATACATGCCTGGGTTGCCAGTCAGGTTCCCGGTGGGGGCATGCAAGAGGCAACCACATATTGATGTTTCTCTCCCTCTCTTCTCCCGCCCTTCCCTTCTGTCTAAAAATAAATAAAATCTTTTAAAATATGAAAAAGAAAGATCTCGAGGACATTCATTAATGCCAAACAGTAACAGGATTCTAAGGTTTGGCTTCTTGAAGGAAGGATCCAGACCAGTGTTCTCAACCCAGGGCAACATGGTCCACCCCCAACCCTCAGAGAACATCGGGCAGTGTGCGGAGACATTCTGGGTTGTCACAACCGTGGTAACTGTGGTGAGCAGATGCTACTGGCATCTAAACAGCCCACAGCGCACAGCACAGCTCCCTTAAAGAATTACCCATCCCAGGTGTCAAGTGCCGAGGCTGAGAAGCCCTGGTTTAGATATCAGAGTTGGGCTTTGGAGACCAACTGGTTCAAAGAATATCAGCCCATGTTCTGCAGAGAGAAGGGAATTTCTTTATATGATATAAAGAAATGTAAGAGAAGAAAACCTGACGTCCTAAAAACTCAGCCCTGTTTTTCCATATGCCATAGACAAGTCTCAGGAACTTGAACATGCAGCGTCTAAGCCAGACCTCCCAGCATGTCTCTTACACAGAAGGAGCAGAAAGGGTGGAGAGGGCAGGAGCAGGCGGGGACCCTGGCCCCTCTCCGGGCTGGTCAGAGAGAACATGTGCCCTTTTGATCGGCTTTTGATGCTAGAGTTCTGTGCCAGACTTTTTTTTTGGGGGGGGGTTACCAGGGGGCAGGTGGCTGGAATCCTGGAGCTGGGAAATGGGTGGAGAAAAGTTTTAAAAACCACTGGTCTGCTTTGATTTCCGTTTTTATAGGCCCAGGAAAGAAAAGTGAATTGCCTGAAGTGACACAGCAAATCTGAAGTACCGTATTTTGCAGTGTATAATGTGCACTTTTTTTGCCCAAATTTTTGAGGGAAAAATAAGGATGCACATTATGCATGGGTGTAATGAATTTGTGCCATGGGTAAAATAATCCCATGTATAATGCACACAAAATGTGGTGAGCATTATACACGGCAAAATACGGTACAATAGGGACCCAGACAGAGATTTATGAGGTCCAGAGCCCTTCCCCCAGCCTCTTAGCTGCCGCACAGAAGCAGGATATCTGGACTAGGAGTCAGGCACCCGAGGTTGGGGGATTGGCAAACCAGGTCCCACAAACCAAACTGGGCTCATGACCTGTTTTCTTATGGCCTACTAACTGAGCAGAGTTCTTCACAGTTCTTCTCATGGTGGACAAACATCAAAAGAAGGCTAATAATATTTTATACATGAAAGTTTTACAAAATCAAATTTTAGTGACCATAAAGTTTTATTGGGACATAGCCAAGTTCTTTCTTTACATACATATTACTTTTGTTCTACAACATTATAATTAAGGAGTTGTTGTGACAGGAACCACATCGCTTCAACAGTTTGCTGCCTGGACCTCTGTAGAGGCTGTTTGCTGACCTCGGCCCCAGCGTCTTCTCAGCTGGGCCACCAGTGCGCCTCGCGATCCCGGGCAAGCGGCCGCCCCCCTGGCCCTCCTCACTCATAAAACAGCGAGACAACTATTCTGTGGGCGGTGCCATATTGGTGTTCTGTCCATGGCATAACACATTACTGCTAACATAGAAGTTTAAAGTAACACCCACAGTTGACCCTTAAATACAACAATGGTTGGGGTGCCAGCCCTACCTCCAGAATAGTTGAAAATCCAAGAACAACTTTTGACTCCCCAAAATTTAATTACTGAAAACCTACTGTTGACCAGAAGCCTTACCAATAACATAAACAGCTGATTCACACATATTTCATGTTATATGTACTATATAATGTATTCTTACCATAAAGTAAGCTAGAGAAAAGGAAATGTTATTAAGAAAGTTGTAAGAGAGAAAAACTACATTTGTGGCGCTGTAAGTGTACACTGTCTGCTCACACAATGAACCAATCTGCACATCAGTGGCCCCATGCAGTTCAAACCATGCTGTCAAGGCTCATCTGTGCTTACTGTGTCATAGCTCTGCAGGTTGGAAATTCAGGTGGGTTCGCCTGAGTTCTGTGCTTAGGATTTTGCAAGGCCAAGGTCAAGTCAAGGTGTGAGGTGGGCTGGGCTTTTACCTGGAAGCTCCGGGAGGTGTCCCGCTCCCCAGGTCATTGGGGCGTTGGCAGGACTCCACCCCTTGCGGTTGTCGGACTGAGGCCCCGTGTTCCTTCTGGTTGTCAGCCAGGGTCTGCACTCAGCTTCCAGAGGATGCTCGCAGGTCTTGCCAGGGGAGCCCTCCACCTCAGCATTGGGGAACCCCCTCAAGTCAAATCTGTCCCCCTTTGAATCTCTCTGACCGCCTTTTCTGCTACCAGTGGAAGAAAACTCTGATTTGACACCAACCCATCTCTCAGTCTTAAGGTCAGGTGATTAGTCATCTTAATCGTGTGGAAAAAAATTCCTCTTGCCATGTAAGCAGAGGGCAAAGGCCACGAGGGCCATCTGA